CATATGCTTACGTGCAATCCTTTCGAGGCATTTGCATAGGACCGACGTCAGACTTACTGTTCTGTAGTTTTCGGCCTTTTGCTTTAGCCCAGATATATGCAGAGCAACTACCGTCGCTCTTTTCTAATCTCCCGGTATCTCGCCTTTATCTGGAGATCCCCTAAACAGCTTTGACAGAGGCCCTTGTAGCATCTACGCCAGGGGTTTAACCATAGCAGGATGGATGCCATCCGGTCCCGCTCCCATGAACTTATTCAGGGTAGCTAATTCGTGAAGGACTTCGTCTAGTATCACAGCTATTTCAGTCAGCTGTGATGTTGCACTGGGATAATCTGCCATAAGCAATGGTGCTGGCTGTTTGTACACCTCCTTAAAGAAAACCAGAAGGGTATTTGCTATGTTTCCCTCACTTAGGGCAAGACGTCCATCAGTGTTTTCCAATTTTCCAATCTCCTCTCTTGATGCCTTTTTAGATTGGAAGTAAGTATAGTACTTCTTTTGATTCTTTTTGGCTTTTGTCGCAATCCCATGCCCATAAATGTACCTTGCCCTTCGCTGCATAGCCTGCGCATGGTTTCTTGCTGCCTTGTAGCTACACCATACCTGATACGAACTGAGCCGTTTGTAAAGCACCGACTTTCGCATCCTTGTGGCCAGAGCTTTGTCTAAACACGGTTTCCACCATGGTGGCCGTTGTATGAGTCTCCCAGGCCTCAGGGGTGCAAACTCTTCGGTGAGCCTCAGTAAAATATCTTTAATTGCAGCCCACCTCTCTTCGATGGTAGGATCAGCTGTTGACGGTTCCCAGCTTAAACCTAACGCTGCTTCTCAAAGACTCTCTTCTTGAATGTTCCTACACAAGTGAATCATTTTGATCCTTGGCTTAGTGTACTGTGCCAGTACTTTTAGCTGTAGAACCGCGTGGTCGCTTCTGCCTAGGGGGACCCCTACCCTGAGAGCAACGACATCTGACCTTACTCCAGAAATAGCTAAGTCTAGGGTTGAGGATCTCTGGCTGAAACGAAACCGAGTGGGTTCCCTCACGTGCTGCACAAGCGCATGCGGATAGATCCACTCCACTATTTCCCGCCCCGCAGCTCCCGTAGGAGCTCGTTCTTCTTCTCAAGCTATGTCAAGAAGGTTTAGAACCCCCACGATGAGAAACTTATGGGCACTTTGAAGCACCTCTTGTAGGGTACGCATCAGTTCATTTTCCTCAATCACCGTTGAGTTTGATGCCCTACAAATGCAGACGACGTCTATAAGTCCGATCCAACGCTTAAGTGGCAAGCAGTAACCTGAATATTGGGAGTAGCTAACTGCAGTGGTCACTCCCGTTGGTGATAGGTAGTCTACACAGCTAAGAGGATTCCGCCCCTTTGCCTCCCGTCTAGTCTATCTTGTTTATATTGGGTATACTCCTGAAGACCCCGAACCATATCTTCACTCTTGAGCCNGCAATGACATCTGCTTCTGCTGTCCTGGTCTTTAGCTCCCCCCATTTGCCCCGGAGGCTGCAGGCATTCGAATACCAGACAGCCACATCAGGGGAACTGAGCTTTCTTTCGCTCGGGTCGTTTCTTGTTGGAGTGCCATCGGGCGTAAGACCCGAGGGAGAGTTACGTTTTTTGCTTTAAGGGAGGGTGATTTCGGAGTCACCTTCACATCCCATTTAATGCTNTATCATTCCTAATTCTGATGTCTTCAACGAGGAAGTAGTACTTCACTCCATCTTCTGAGGGAGAAGGCGACTGACCTTTACTAGTGTATCTTGCACTGATAGCCTCAGCCTTGTTTTCGACGTATTTGCAACAACAGTTGCCCAACTGTTCGACCTAGGGCTTTGAGTGCTTAGCATGGTTTTCTTCACCGAGGTGGGTGCGATAACCGGAGCGTATTTTATCAGAGCATTTTTTATCGGAGCCTCGCGCGTGGTATTGCTCTTTTCATCCAGATGAAGCCGTCTCTGTGCATCATTTATCCTAGTTTTAACGGGTTTCGTTTCTTTTGAACACTGATAGCCCTTCTTTGGCCCATTGCTAATGGTAGCGCCACTCAGTTGGCCCACCCCTGGCACTTTAGCAATTATGGACGTAGAACTACCTAGCAGAGCCTTATCTACTCTTTGTATTTGTATAGTCGGCTCGGTTGCGGGCACCACCAATGGCATCGAAGTTCTTCTACCCCCAGCCACTCGCGGGCCCGAGACTAGTATAACCCTGAGCGCTTGAGTGCTAGAGTCAGGCGTGACTCTCACAATACCACCGGTGACGATGTCTACCTTCACGGCACTTGATAGCACGGAGTCTCTCAGGTAAATACTGAGAAAGGTTACTAAAAGCGGCCTTAGTCCAACTACTTCAACGCCTTTTCAATGCGATGGCAATTGACAATTGGAGTGCTTGCTGGCATTCCAATCATTCTGAATATGTCGTGAAGACTGCGCCTATCAGATTCCTTTCTCGCCCTACTTTCGCGAATATATGGGTTCCTCAAATTACGGAAGACTAAGTTCCGCGTCCTACCTAACATCATTTGAGTGGAATGTTTCACCATGGGTAGTTCTTTTTCGAGAACTTCCATTCGCGAATTTAGGGCTGCAATCTCTTCAGATATTGTATCTTCCTTTTTAGCAGTCTGTCCTCCTTTCGTCTTCAACCTACTTTCTACCGACTCTGTCGGTTTACCACTAATGCTTTGTTTACCCGTTCTTTTTGAACGTATTTGTGTTCTTTGGCTGCATCTTTGAGGTTAACCCCTCAGCAGCAACAATACCCTGTACCAGGCGAGAGCACTCGAGCGCAAACGCCTCGCATTGGTCACATACCCACTTCAGATTCTTGTTCTGAAGATGTATGAGGTACTCTCTCTTTGCTAAAAGTGAGCGCTTTTATATGGTATTTATTGCACTGAATGCCGTCCGCGATATACAGATTGCAATCAGTGCCACCACAATGACTTTTGCTCTTTGAGGAAATCATTGATAAAGGTGCGAAAATTTCAAAACCATAGACGGGAAAAGCGGATAAACGGGTAAAATAGCTAAAAACCCTTTGGGAACACAACAATAAAAAGCTAGAAACGACTCAGATACAACTTTTGTGAACCGTTAAAGGGTTCACCACTTTGTATAGTAAGCACTGAAAGGCTTAATGCTAAAATAGTGAAATATCTATAGATATTTCATTAGTATCCAACAAAACGTTTTATATACCGAGAGCAATTCGAAAATTCAAACCACGCACGAACGCACAGTAGGTCACATTTAGGTCACGTCACGGATTCATGGGGATTGACGGGCTTGGGAACCGAAGCTTCCGAGTAGCCCGGGTTCTGGTGGTAGGTGTATTCCTCAGTGACGGACGGAGGTCCTCGGAATAGTTATCTGTTACTCGGTATCCGATTGTGTCTGAAACAAGAGACAGCTAGGAATGCTACTGTTCAACTATTATTTTTTCCGGGTCAGGTCAGGTCAGAACAGGTTGCACAGGGCGATAGAGGTTTTCGCCAACCGAGCGTCCAGATTCTTGCTCCAGCCGAAACCACGTTCTTCCGGAGCTTCGACTTCTTTTCGACCGTTTCTTCGCTCAGGTTTCGGTTTGAAATAGCAGCTTATTCAAAAATAGGCAGCATGGAACAGCCAATCTCAATATTAGGCACTCTACCAAATCTCAGGATAGAAGCTGATCCAGACCCCATCTAGTTGCCTTTTGAACTCATCAACTGTACTACAGTCTAGCAGTGAAGGTGGTAGTTGGTTCCATTCATCTATCACTCTACTCGTGAAGAAGTTGTGTCTAAGGTTGAGTCGGCTTGTGGGCTTCATTAGCCTCAGATAATGCCCCTTTGTTGACTCGAGCGGTGCTTGGGTAAACAGGCTGTCCGTCTCTAGCCCAGTCAGCCCCTTCATTATTTTGAAGGTTTCAATGATGTTGCCTCTCAGGCGTCTCCTCTCCATGGAGAAAAGTCCTAGGGATTCTAACCTCTCCCTATTTAACTAACCCCTCATCCCCGCGATCATCCTAGTAGCTAACCGTTGGACCCTCTCAACGCAACTGATATCAGTCTTCAAGTAAGGCGCCCAAGCCTGCACGCAGTATTCTAACTGCGGTCTAACTATGATCTTATATAGAGGTACAAAGCCCTCAGTCTTCCTTGACGACAAGGCCACCTTAAGCTGGAACAATCGCCTCCACGATTTTTGTGCGGCGACTAGGCATTAATCACTGGGCTTAAAGTCCTCACGGACCAAAATTCCCAGATCTAGCATTCGGTTTACGCGGGCGAATACCGTCGATTCAGTGGTCGTAGCCACTCGAACTGAAAACCCTATGGTATTTAGAACATGACAGTTGGTAGCGTTTAGTTCCAAGTCCCACTTCTGTGTTCACCGGACCATCTTAGCCAGATCACCCTGCAGTTGATCTACAGGTCTTGAGTTCACTACTTTGACGCCGTCGGCAAAGATGAAGGCCGGAACCGCTAGCTCCTGGACTAAGTCATTTATAAATTGCAGAAAGAGCATCGGGCCTAGCATTGAGCCATGAGGCACTCCGCTGGATACGCTGCCAACGTTAGACATAGCTTCTCCCACCCGAACTCTATAGGTCCGGTTGGTAAGAAAAGCTTTTATCCATCTTACTAGAGCTGTTGGAAGACAAAAACTCCTCAGTTTTACTAGCCGGAGCCGGTGATTTACCGAGTCAAAAGCTTTCCAGCCAACCACTATGTAACTTTGTCTAAGAAACAAAGAAGGTTGCTCAAACACTTTTGAGAAAGCCGCTCTGGGCGGGGCTAATCAACCTATATCGAGTAACGTGTTCACAGAGAGCATTCCTAACAATGATTTTTAAGTCCTTACACAGCACGCTAATCAAACTTACGGGTCTGTAGTTACCAGGTTGCTTGTTATCTCCACTCTTATAGATAGCTACCGTTTTGACAGTCGCCCAATCACTACTCTCACAGTCCTTAGGGACTCCAGGTAGAGTGTGGTTATCGCAGGGGCGCGCACGGGCGCTAGTGGTTTGATGATGGCCGAATGTAGCCCGTTGCTGCCAGCGGACTTGTTTATATTCAAGCCCTTCATGACATAAAGAACACTACTACTAGCTGAGACTTCCACATCGTCCATTAGAGGGGTGTCTAAACTCTCTCGTGGGACTGCACGCCCATCGTCTATTTTATAGAAGTTTTTGAAATACCTCCTGAGCGTCTCACATTTTTCGTAATGTGAGACAGACAGCTCACCTCCAGGGTTCTCCAATGTGTCTACCGATTGTCTTAGTGCAGTCTTCGATTGAACATAACTATGGTATCTCTTGGGTTCCTGGCGCGCTCTCTTGGTGATTTTAATCTCGAACGGCATTTTCGCCTGTTTTACTAGCATCTTTTACATAGTTTCTCACCTTCTTATATTGGAGCCATCAATCATGTCCTCCTGAGAGAACAAATGCATTTCACTTACGAGTCCTTCCCCTATGGCGCGTTTGATGATCGGCTTCCACCACTGCGGTTTGTGGGTATCCACCAGAGGCTGCAAGGGGGCATGCCTTTCCGTCATGGAATCAGTTCACAAATTCATGTTCTACTTGCCCCTCTCCCCCGTCTTCATGCTGCCATTCTATTCCGGGTAGATTGAAATCCCCCACTATAATCGTCGAGTGATTTCCTTTACCGATTGTGGAAATGAGATCCATTAGCGCCCTATCATCCTCCGGTCTGGAGTTTGGTGATCTGTAGACACCCAATATGCAAAAGTGTCGGCTTATATTTGTTACAATGCAGTCTATAGCTTGCACTGTTGGGGTACAGAGTGTTAGCTCAGGTATTTTCAACTGGATATATTGCCGACAAGCGAGCAGTAGGACCCCACCCCTCGCCCACCCTCCCTATCAGTTCTGTAGTCGGTGAAGTTTGGTGGTCGCGATCGGCGTCAGCGTCAGTTTCACGACTTTAGTTGGGAGAGTCTGTAGTGTTGTTTTCTGTGCTTCCGTTGCACCCTGGGTACTTCCTGTGTATGGGTTTTTGCTTTGGGTTTGGGTACTGAGCGGTCGTCTCACGGCCGTTACTGCCTTTAGTGGCACAATCGGAAGTGAAGTTTGGTTCCTACTGAACTTAACCATGAGGGCTTTGCCCTCTGCACCATTGATTGTGTCCCAGTCCTTGGGTGCTTGCGGGATCCCCCCTTGGTTTCGAGCTTCTTTACCGGTTTTGGTCCTATCGATACGAACAATTTAGATCGCAAAGGAGTCAAGGAAACGACCGCTGCGCAGCTCAGCTTGCATTGGTGTTCCAGTTTCATAGCAGGACACGGTTCTGGAGAGGCCTTTACGGCGGCNCTTTCCAGTCGCCTTGCTCTTCCCTATCGCGGTTGCATGGCCCTTCTCTGGGGTCTGCCATGTACCCTGCTTTCGGGTATCAGGTGTGATCTGATACCTTCCCCTAGTGACTCGCTGAATTTTTTCACAGTTACTAAGCAAATAGTCCCGGACCGAGGGATTTCCGAATACCACTAGGATGAACCTAGCTTTTCTCTGCTGCAGGCTGCCTACAGGGTCCATCCAGCGGCCGACCTTCTACACCCTCCCAATAAGCGCATGCGGGGGTAACCCAGCGAGCTTCAAGAGATCCCGAACTTTCCTAGGTTCTATGTCTGCCCGGGCTTTCGCATTCCGAATTACCGGCTCCTAATTG